GGGCTAGCTTACTGCATGTATGTATGCATGTAGGCATTAAATGGTTACCAGCGCAATCCCTGATGACCCTTTTCTTGTACATTTGAGATTATAAATGCAGTTACATACAATCAGTATGAATTATAATCATCTGTAAAGTTTGCGGAGACATTTTGCATCAAAGTTGCTGCAATACTTTACACCCAAAATGAAATAAGGATGCAAAGTTTATGACTTTCCGTGAATATTCCTCAAGTGAGAGTCGTAGGTTACCTAAAACCAAACGCTCCAACCGCCTGTTGAATATAACCTAGGCATAATAATAGTTTTGTTCTCAAGTCTCCAAAGGACAGTATAAAATATACGTTAACACATTAGTCAATTTGTAAAATACAGTCAATGTAGACAGTAATGGTCTGCGTGATCGGCCAGATGTATAACAGAATTTAGAAATTGTGTTATGTAAAGTAGGCAGTGTTTCCACGTCCGTCGGCGATTTGACCTTTTCCATACGACATTTTTGACGATAATATCCACAACATCGAGATGGGAAGTTTTTAGAAAGAGTGGTAAGCTACGAACAAAGCATTGAAAAAACTCCTGGGGTGACCGCGACTTTAAAAAAAATCTTCAGGAGAAAAAAGCCACTTCGCGAAGGGCTGTGGAGGACAGAAGACGTTCTTTATGAGCGCGAAATGAAAGTCGAGGGTGTTAATTAGTGGCAGACGCAAGGTGGCGACGACACTTGTGGTGGGAACTCCACATTCTAGTTTCTAGAAAGGAATCTCGATGAGAGTTAGAGACGAGAAAAACGGTGGGGGTCTAGACCGTTAGAGTTAATATGATCCCGATAACTGCTCTGAGGGTTTGGTTGGGGAGGGCATCGCGTTTTGTAAAAGACGAACCGTGGACTAGAAAATCGGAAATTCTGATGCATATCTGTGGATATCGAAAACAAACGTAGAAAAGAGAGAGGTGGAGAGATACATTAGTTTGGCCGCAGCTTCCCGAATTCCCAGTGCACCTTTCTCAAAGTCATAGGGAAATTTTCACGGCAAGGATACTCAGTGCTCACAGCACCGACGTGTATCGTTTCAATAATCGGTGCATGCACGCGTCTGCGCGTGTGCCACCGACTAGTGTCCACGACTTTCTCTTCGCCGACGACTGAGTACTAAACACCGTGATGGAAGTGGACATGCAAAGGAGTATGAATCCTTTCGGCGCCGGCGGCTATGTCAACTTCGAACTAACAATCAGCACGGACAACACGGTGGTCATGCGTCCGCCGTTGCCTACCACGGATTACAGTACTCCTCGAATCAGTGTCAAAGGTATTTAACTTGAAATTGTAGACGGCTCCGATTTTCTTGGAAGCATACCAACATGCTGCCCAAAATCCACGGCGAAGTTATTCCCCAAATTATCAAGGTGAGTCAGATTTACGGCCGGCTTCATGCTCGCTTGTGGAATCGTCACGACCTTCAACTGAAGGCCAAACTGAGGGTGTACAAGGCCGTCGTGTTGACAGCACTCCAAAACGGCGCGGAAACCTGAACCGTTTACTCGTATTAAGTCAGGAAGCTGGATCACTTCCATTTCAGCTGCGTCCGCAGAATACTACAGCTGAGATTGCTGGATGGGAGCCTGACACGGGAGTCATGGAAGGGACCGGAATCTCCGGCATCTGTCCAGGGCGGACCAGCCTGGAGAAGAACACTGAAGTCTGACGCAGCAAGCTACGAAACAAACCGGACAGACGCTTTCAAAGCCTGAACGGTGGCTCGAAATTCGCCAGGGCCTTGGATCCACGATACAAACACCCGGCCCCTTCCAACATCTCCTAGCGCGAATCATCCTCATTGGGCACCTCTGGGCCAAATGCAAGAACGGACATGCAGGTCCCGGTGCTGCCTCCGCAGACGCCTCCATCGGCACTACCATAAATGGCCAAGTGCAGCAGCATCCCGGCACCCTCGGCCGACGAAATCACGAACACCGTATCTTCAGCCAAATCCCAACCCCCACGGCGTCCACGACAACAGCCACCGCCACCGGTGATCACACTCCTGACGCTCACCGGCCTCGGCCGCCGGCGTCAACCTCCTTGCCGCAACACCCGAGTCGATCACGGCGCGGCGGCGGCGACCACCAGCACCATAAAAAGATGCCTACTTCCCTCTCCCCACCATCACTGAGACCATTTCCAATATCCGGTCGGCTACTACTCTCGCTACCTCCACCAGCACCACCAATAATGGAAACTTGATCCCAATATGTCCCCATTGTGGCCGTTCATACATCTCACGCTCCGGCATTGTCGGTCGTTTGCGGATCCGACGCAGGGAGACTGGTGAACCAGCACCTGGGACCCTGACATACAGTCACCGCGTCCGCACCGTACACGCTCACTTAGTGCATGGGTCTGTTGGACCGAATTCACCCCAGCTAAAATGTGCGGGAATTCACTGCGGACTTGACCACATCACTAAACGTTTTTTTAACCAACACACTCATCTCATACGCACTCTTCCATCTACAACCAACACTAACATCCCTCACATAAGTAAGAAATGAATTCTTCGGCTCCCCTCAATGTGGCTTTTCAATTACAAGTGAAAGCCCTGACGCACCTGCCATGTTAGGCGTGAACTAGGTCCAAGTGTTCAGCTTAGTTCGTTTTATTGAGGGAAGTAAGCGTTAGCCTTTAAGTGCTCTATTTGCATCGTCAAAATTTTTGATGGACAGAAATGCTTCTGGACGGAAATAGTTGATACGAGCCCACAATGGTATGACAAAACGGAAGTAAGTCATTGGGGATGAGCTCGATCTTGCATCGCTCTTGGTAATTTCGGAATATGAATAGGTCGAGGTTCATTTAAAAGCTTTGTATAGATGGTGGCATCACAACATCTGCGGGAAGGGCATTCCATGGTTCGACCACTCGAACAGAGAAGGAGAACTTCCGCACATTTAGCTTTGCTTGCTGAGTTCGCATTTTTAATGGGTGACCACGGAGGTTGGTCGTGGTAACAAATTCAATAAAGTCCTCGAAGGCCAGGCTGTAATTCAACCCCTTTACAATGCGGAATGCTTGCAAGAGATACTCACGAAGTTGCCTGTAACTCAAAGGAAACAGGTTCGATTTACTGGGCGGGCTGCATAAGGAAAAGATCTTCGACCCCTCAGCATCTTCGTGACTCTCCTCTGAACTCTTTCGATGTAGTTTTGATCCTCAACCGCCCACGGTCTCCAGTCGTGTATGTATGAATGTATTTGGAGGGTTAGAGGCAGAGCCCTTGATGACCCTATTTATGTACAGTGCTTTCGCAGATTCGTGCTTAAAAATAAAATCGCAAACATTTAAAATGTGATCGAGCCACAGTGCAATCGTAATCATAAGGTAATGCATAAGGACACTGTAAATAATTGCAGAGGGTTTTTTACAAATTGGCTGTGCATAGTCATGCTGTAAAAGCCGATTTCTGTCAAAAACAAGAAGAGCAAGTTTTCTTTTAAACACGCAAATTGTGCCGGCCGTCACCATCTCGCTTGGAGGCGAGTTCCACGGTCGGACGACCCGCTGACTGAATGAAAATTTTCGGCGATCTAAGCGCGTGCGCCCATTCAAGACTTTGCAGGTATGGCCGCGTAGTTGATTTGCACGGGCAAATTCAAAGAAGTCCTCCGCTCCTAATGAGCAGCCGTGGCCGCGAACCATCCGGAACGTCCAAAGCAGACTGCAGTTTCTTTATCTATAAGAAAGGGAGAATAAGCCAAGCAAATTCAGCCTCTCCTGATAAGACAAATGCTTTAGACCGTCCACTATTTTTGTCGTTCTGCGTTGCACCTGTTCGAGTAAGTCGATATCCTTCCTCATCCATGGTGAAGCTGCTGACATTCAATACTCCAGATGAGGTCTTACAAAGACACCAAAGAGTCTTTCGAAGAGTTCTGGAGGGCATATTTTGAATGCACGTCTGATCCAGTGAAGAGTACTAGTTGCCTTCTGGACCATCTTTCTACAGCGTTCTGATGGCGATAGATTTGTGGTCGTCCATATACCAAGATCTCTGTGTCTTTCCACCCTTTCTAACGGCGTCCCGTCAATAAAGTACTGGTGTTTGGGAAAGGCATTGCGGCATTGTCTTTGAACATTTTCAATTTTGAACGACTGGCCTCGTTCATCAAACCAAAGCATGGGCAACAATACTGGAGCTGTGAAGTACAAACACCAGGCGGAGTCTTAATTTAATTTCAGGAATATATAAATTGTGGGAAATAAAGCCACAAATCTGGGCACTTTTGGCTGTAATATGGCGAGAGAGCAAGATAATTGGTGCAGCTTAAACGAAAATCCCTGTTGATGGTACATTCAGTCATAGGTGTGCCCTGAAAGGCCATTGGGGTAGCCTATCAGGCCCAAAACACACACAGCGACATTTAGGCGGATAGAATTTCATTAGCCATCTTTGACAAAAAGTGAGATTAACATTTCTGATTTGCGGGACCCCACTGTAATGAAGGTATCGTTGGTACCGAACAAAGACAGAATGACTTGGTGGGATCTAGCTGATGATCTTTGAAGCAGGACCTGATTTAGAAGTATTTAGAAGTATTTGCGCCACTGAAAGCTTAACACTCTCCACGTCTATTTCACGCGAGTCTCATTTTTGAGCTGACTGAAATACTTCGACAATTCTTGGGAGGACTAATAATGAGCTCACGGAAGGATCTTTAAGCTGCTTCCGTGGCTTTTAAAGTCTGTTTTTAAGAACATGCGGGACAGTGGGGTAAGTGGCAATCGATTTAAGCATCTTCCATGTATGGGTAATAAGCCGGTTAGGTCCCCTATAAAAGTATTTATCATGCATTTCTGTCAAAAAATGTCAGAAAATACCGATATAAATTTAAATCAGTATTAATTAATTTGAAGGTATATCAGAAAGAAGTATCCGGTAATTAAACATATGTCTAATAGCAAAATAAATATTTAGTTTGCTGTGCATAAGAAAATTATGCATACTAGTTGACTAATTAATATTAAATAATACTACTATTACGCCGGCAGATCGTGTCATCGTGCTTGAGCTCATAAGAGCGACCTACAGGCTTTTGCTCAGTACTGCCGCACATGGCGCCTTTCTCTTTCTTGGCATAAATGTTCAGTCAAGGGGGTTGGCAACGACCGCCAACCTCAACTAAACTTTGAATGTCGCGCCATAAATGTGCCTGGGGTTATTAAGGATCTGGGCGTATCATACTCCGAGAGTCTCAATCTCTCGGAGCACTGTGCCTTGATAGTCTCCAAAGCACGGAGAACGATCGGCTTTATACTCCGAAACTTCAAAATTAGGGACATTAGAATGCGTCTCTACAACATGTATGTTAGACCTGGTCTGGAATACGGTTCGTTTTTATTAAGCCTCATGCGTGTTACTGAGCGGAGGAAAACAGAATCCGTTCAACACTTTTTACCAAGACAGTTTTAACCCCAGAACACCGACATTTGTCTTACCAAGAACCTTGCAGGCCTACGGGCCTTGATCCTTTATGGCTCCGTAGGTTACAAAATGGCCTATATTTACTCTGTAAGCTCTTATATTATCACACATTTAACCCACTCATCTCTTTAAGACATCATGTCCACCCCGACGAAACAGTAAACGCGAGGTCTTTTATTTCTTCCTCTGGCACGTACTGCTAAATATCGTCGGTACTTTTCTGTAAATGCGATTGCTATTTGGAATAAACTACACAGGAAGGTAAAAAAATCTGCAAACTTGACCTTTATTTAAGAGAATTATTACTCGATTTTTGCATTAAAAAAGCTCCCACGAATTTTGAGTGCTGAATCCACCGACTGACTCTACCGTAACGATGGCGTTTTTGACCTCTGAAGACTATGGCCGGTCTCACCAGGGACAAATCTTTAGCCAACAGCGACAGCTGTTCTTCGGCGCTTCTGTTTGGGCTATCGCCAACTTCATGAAAGAAATTGGCGACTGATAATATCCGATACCGTACAACCCCACTCTTTTTGACGGTCGAAAGCTTGCCGCCAGCAGTTTTTTCTCGTAAACCCTCCAAACGACGAAAACCACAATCAACTATATTTTTATTCCTATTCCACAGTTTTTTTTTCACTGCTGGCCAGATTTGTGCTTAAAGCGTCTCTGAAAAAGCCTGTAAACTGGTATTAAATAAAAAATTATTATACTGAACATAATAGAATAGAATAGGTTTATTGTAGCGCCCCTTGCTAAAATGAGGGTTCCGCTTATTACCACTTATAAAACAGAAAGAGCAGGTGGGGAAAAATTAAACTATCGGGAAAAAAATAAGGGTGGATAACAAAGATGCTGAGGTCCGAAATTTGTAAAACTATAATAATAATTTTTCATAAAATACCCGTCGGGGTCCCATCACCGCAAGTAAAAATAAAGTTACATGTGAATTTTAGACGAGGTACGCAGAATCTGTACAAAACGCAATTCATAGTTCCTGAATTAGTAGTCCGTTGAGAAAAATGACAAGGAAGAGGTGGAAAAAACTCCACTGAGAAATTTAAAAATGATTGAATTAACTTTACAGGACAAAGAAAACCCTCGCTAAAAAATAATAACAGCAAGTTCTGGCAGGACTGGCCTGTATGTGGCAGTATGTAACGGATTATAATAGGACAGGGGTGTAGGGGTGTCAGCGGTGGGTTCATGTAATGGTCGTGGTGGTCGCTCACTTGCGTGCAGGTGAGACTGCGCCTAGCGTCCACTTGCTGGCACCCAACTCTCACCTGTGGCTCCACGTAGCTGGACTATGCTCAGCGGCCACACCCCGGGCAACCGTCTCGACCGGCGGGCTAAGCCACGTGAGGGGGCCCTGTGCGCTGTGCCGTGTGAACAGGGTTCGCGGATTCCGCTGGATGGAAGGTCGGATGGAACCTTGCGTCGGCACCGTCGTGACGTGCTTCGTCTCTGCACGCCGCTGGGCAGCCGGTGACGGGATGGATCTCCACATCGACATCGCCTTGACGCGCCCACCTACGCCGTCGGAGACCGCGGCTTACGGCGAATTCGAGTCGCTCTCCACTACAACCCGAAGTCGTGGTCCCATAGTGGAGTTCGGCCGTGCCACAACGGCACATGGCAGCCCTATTCAGGGATGGCACTGCCAGCCCCCACGAGGGGAAGGGCCTAGAAAAGGTGGGCTAAACATTGCTGGGTACCACGCCGTCTCCAGGCTAGCCAGGGCCGCAGACGTCTTATCATGGTCGAAACAATCAAAATCGAAACAACAACAATACCAATAACAACAACAACCATACCCATTCTCCTCATCCTACTTCTGCTACCTCTTCCTCCGTCTTTTCTTCTGCCTATTCTTCTCCTTCGTCACCTTCTTCTCCATCTCCTTCCCGTCGCCCCACTCGCTGTCACCAGACTGGCAGGGTGAGCCCGCTCACTCTGGCAGCCTGGAATGTTCGTTCCCTTTTAGACAATCCGAGGAACAACAAACCGGAACGGAGGACGGCGCTAGTGGCACGAGAACTGGCGCGCAACAAGGTGGACATCGCCGCACTCAGCGAGACCCGTTTCTCCGAACAAGGCCAACTGGAGGAGGTGGGTGCCGGCTACACCTTCTTCTGGAGCGGTCGACCCAGGGCAGAGTGACGGGACGCGGGTGTCGCCTTCGCCATCCGGAATGACATCGTGGGACGACTGCCCTGTTTGCCGCAGGGCATCAACGATCGCCTGATGAGCCTCCGCCTGCCTCTCCGGGGTGGGGGCACATTCGCCACCATCATCAGCGCCTACGCTCCGACGATGACCAACCTCGACGCCGTCAGAGACAAATTCTACAAGGACCTGCACGCCCTCTTGGTGACTGTGTCGAAGGCGGACAAGTTGATTGTCCTTGGTGACTTCAACGCCCGCGTCGGCACAGACCATACTGCCTGGAGAGGAGTGCTGGGTCCCCACGGTCTCCGCGGCTCAAACGACAATGGTCTGCTGCTTCTCCGCACCTGCGCAGTACACCGCCTCATCCTGACGAATACCTTCTTCTGTCTGCCGGAGCGAGAGAAGGCCACCTGGAGGCATCCTCGGTCGCGCCAGTGGCACCTGTTGCACTATGTCCTCGTCCGGAGGCGAGATCAGCGGGACGTGCTGGTGACGAAGGCGATCGCGGGTGCTGACGGGTGGACCGACCATCGCCTCGTCATTTCGAAGATGCGTATTCGCCTACAGCCTCGCAGGAGACCACAAGGTAAGCGACCCCCAGGTAAGCTGAATGTTGCCTTGTTGTCTTTGCCCGCTCACCATCTTCATTTCAGCAATGAGCTAGCTCAAAGGCTAGACAACCTTCCTATCGCTGACGCCGACGACGCCGCCGCTGCCGAGAACGCCTCCGTGGAGAACCGCTGGTGTCAACTGCGAGACACGGTCCAGTCGACGGCGCCCGCCGTCCTCGGTCGCACTCCCCGCCAACACCAGGACTGGTTCGACGACAACGACGCCGCCATCAGAAATCTGCTAGCTGAGAAGAACCACCTACACAAAGCCTACGTAGATCACCCCACTGATGCCACCAAAGCTGCCTTCTACCGCAGTCGCCGCCAACTTCAGCAACGACTGCGCGAGATGCAGGACGCCTGGACTGCTCGCAAAGCTGAGGAGATCCAAGGGTACGCGGACCGCAACGAATGGAAGAACTTCTTCTCTGCGATCAAAGCTGTCTACGGTCCGCCGACAAAGGGCACTGCTCCTCTCCTCAGCGCCGACGGCAACACTCTCCTGACTGACAAGACGCAAATCCTGCAGCGATGGGCCGAGCATTTCCGAGGCGTCCTCAACCGCCCCTCCGTCATCTCCGACGCCGCCATCGAGCGTTTGCCGCAAGTGGAGATCAACGTGGACCTCGACCTCCCGCCATCTCTCCAGGAAACCATCAGGGCCGTGCAGCAGCTCTCCAGCGGGAAACCACCCGGATCGGACGCGATCCCTGCTGAGGTCTACAAGCACGGAGGTCCCAAACTTGTGGATCACCTGACTGCGCTCTTCCAAGAGATGTGGCGTCAAGGTGAAGTCCCACAAGATTTCAAGGACGCAACCATCGTGCATCTCTACAAGCGCAAAGGGAACCGCCAAGTCTGCGACAATCACCGCGGCATCTCCCTGCTGAACATCGCCTGGAAGATCTTCGCACGAATCCACCTTAACCGCCTCAATAATCATCTGGAACAGGGCCTTCTGCCGGAAAGCCAATGCGGCTTCCGTCGTCATCGTGGGACCACGGATATGATCTTCGCCGCCCGTCAACTTCAGGAGAAGTGTCAGGAGATGCGGACCCACCTGTACTCTACCTTCGTGGACCTGACGAAAGCCTTCGGCACGGTGAATCGTGAAGGACTGTGGGAGATCATGCAGAAATTCGGCTGTCCGAAGCGATTCACTCAGATGGTGCGTCAGCTGCACGACGGTATGATGGCGCGAGTCACGGACAACGGAGCTGTCTCAGAGGCATTCGCAGTGACCAACGGAGTGAAGCAGGACTGCGTACTGGCGCCTACCCTCTTCAGTCTTATGTTTTCTGCCATGCTGATGGACGCCTACCGTGATGAGCGTCCCGGGATGCGCATCGCCTACAGGACGGACGGTCACCTGCTGAATCAACGGCGGATGCACTTCCAATCGCGCGTATCCACAACCACCGTGCACGAACTCCTCTTCGCCGACGACTGCGCCCTGAACACCACCTCGGAAGAGGAGATGCAACGGAGCATGGACCTGTTCTCCGCCGCCTGCGAGAACTTCGGTCTGGTCATCAACACACAGAAGACGGTGGTGATGCACCAACCGCCACCCAACTCGACCACAGCCCTCAACTCGCCGCCGCAAATCAGCGTGAATGGGACCCAACTGCAAGTGGTGGAGAACTTCCCGTACCTGGGCAGTACTCTCTCCCGCAACACCAAGATCGACGACGAAGTCGCCAACAGGATCTCGAAAGCCAGTCAAGCCTTCGGTCGCCTCCAAAGCACAGTTTGGAAACGCCACGGTCTTCAGCTGAGCACGAAGCTGAAGATGTACAAGGCCGTCATCCTGCCGACACTACTGTATGGAGCGGAGACTTGGACGGTGTACGCAAAGCAGGCACGTCGTCTGAATCACTTCCATCTCAGTTGTCTTCGTCGCATCCTGAGGCTAAAGTGGCAGGATCGAATCCCCGACACTGATGTGCTGGAACGGACGGGAATCCTCAGCATCTACGCCATACTGAGGCAAATGTAGCTGCGCTGGAGCGGCCACCTGGTGCGCATGGACGACGAGCGACTACCCAAACGACTCTTCTACGGAGACGTCGCGACGGGTTCTCGCCGTCAAGGAGGCCAGATTCGCCGTTACAAGGATACCCTGAAGTCCTCCCTGAAATGCCTGCAAATCAACCCCACCAACTGGGAGGAGCTCGCACTCGATCGACCGACCTGGAGGCGGACAGTGAAGACAGGCGCTGCGATCTACGAAGCCAACCGCATCGCTGCCGCCAAAGCGAAACGTGAAGTCCGCAAATCGCGACTTCGCCCAGTAAGCAACGCCGCCGCACAACCGCTTCCAACGTGTCCTCGATGTCAACGGACATTCCGGGCTCGAATCGGACTTGTTGGACATCTTCGGATTAACTGCGCCTCTCGAACGGCACCAACCATCGTCCCCCCGCCTGCCTCTTCCTCTTCCTCCTCCTCTCCGCCGCCAACTAACCCTGACAATTCTTCTGACCCACCACTTCCATCATCCTCCTTCTCCTCCTCCTCCTCCTCCTCCTCCTCCTCCTCCTCGCCCACTGCTCCAACGGCGGCCGCTCAAGCGACTGTCCCGCGCACAGCAACCGACACTACCACCACCTCCCCCGACTCCAGGGATGAGGATCAGGACTACACCTGCCCTCACTGCGACCGTACCTTTACCTCACACAGCGGCCTTGACCGCACTCCCGACATACCCACTACATCCAACACATCCACCGTGCACACCCCCACCTTCGTTCCATCCGTCCGCGCCACCACCACCACCGCCTCCTCTGAAGCTGACACTGACACCGCCGACTTCTCATGCCCACACTGTCCACGCACATTCACCTCACGCATCGGCTTGGTCGGTCACTTGCGAATCCATCGCACAGAGACTGGCGAACCAGTGCCTGGAGCACCCACCTATACCCACCAAGCTCGTCTCAACTGCCCACACTGTCCTCGCACCTTCACGCATCGCATGGGCCTTTTCGGCCACATGCGCATCCACGACGACCTGCGGTAGACAACCGCCGGCCACACCACACATTCACTCACTCCCTACCTCCTCCACCACCACCATCACCCCACCAGAAATCAACACTCACACACCTCATGCACCCAACTGCCACCTCCCACGCAAGTGGGAAGTCCGCATCTCGACTCGGTCCCCATGCGGCTTCGGCTGCACGGGTGACTTGAGTCCGAGACTATCCCGACACGTCAAGCGTCGTGGATAGGAAGGTTGCTGATTGACGCCCGCTCTCGGTTCACGCAGTTCGTCGCGTTGTGTGTGTTGTGTGGAGTGGCGGACTGGTGGAATGGGAACGGGCTGAAACAGCACCTTTCACGGCACTCTCACGCAAGTGAGAGACACGCCGTTCAACCCCCGTTGTGTGTATGGGGGGCCAGGTCGTGCCGAGGCGCGCGCAGTCATGGTCAGTCGACCATGACAGCCACCGCGCCCATTCCCCACTCCAGTCTGCTGACCGGCTCGGACAGCGGCTGGGGTGTGGGAGTGGGAAGGGAGAGTGAGGTCGACGACTCAGCGCACTTTCTCCTCACTATAAACAATCTGACGCGCTTGAAGCTATCACGGTGCGCTAAAAGCCGTGGCTTGGAATGTTGCCAACTGACGGGGTATCTTGGACCTCCTCCTTGACCGGAGGCGGTCTGAGAGTCAGGCTGCAATGGCTCCTTTTTAATGTCGCCTTTATGGCACTCCCAGCACTGTGTGGGATACGAGCCAGGCGTTGGCGGCACGCCCAGGTGCGGCTTCGGCCGTGCCAGCCTCCAAATCTCTCTTGTGTTGGTTGAAATCCTGGTTATTTGTTGTGTGGACCAGGGGGTGGGGTGGAACGCCAAGGTGAGGATCCGTCCGAGCCATCCACCTGCGGCCTCTCTCGTCTCCGGTCTTCTTGACTCTGTCTTGACACCGGGCCCAGGCGAGGGAGGAGGAGAGAGTGTAGGTAGGTAGATGCTACGCAATTCTACCGGCACTATAAACCCCTGCTCCCATTGCTGCTGCAACTGTGGGGCACACGGTGGACATCATCGAAACCGATGGTCGAACTGTCATAATAGGACATCGTCAGCGCAGAAATAACTGTCAGCCTTGAGGGGTACGTATGCGGATCGGACAGGACTGGCCTGCATGTGGTATTGTATACGGGATCCAGAACTGACATCGTCAGGGCGGGATTCGTACGCCGGATGAG